GTGTTTATGCCCGTCACCCACTTGTATATTAAAACTAGTCTAGGTGTCAATAGGAATTTTAAAGCGATAGGGTAAATTTTACACTTATTGAAATTCAAGTTATGTTTGGCGGATTACTAGAATGGTGGAGAGACCTGGTATTGAAATCTCTGGTTTTGGGGTTTGTCAGAGTTAGTAATTATCAGTGGGGGAGGGGGGTTTGGCTTGAAAATCTAGTGTAAATTAAAGATATGTCCGAAGAAAGCATTGAATAGTATGTCTTTGGGGATTGTATATGTGGATAAATGACACTTGAATAGAGAAGTCCAGCTACACGAATAAGTTGACCTTCATGCCTTGACGGCTATGGTGAGTCACAGCATACCGAAAAATAAAAGATACCAAAGGCACGAGACCCCAGTTATGTTGGGCATGGGCTGATTAGACCCGTACCATCGAGATGTCTTATTTAAGGGGAACGTATGGACGATGATGCATTTCATGGCCCTGAAGAAAGAACCAGATGCCTGGTAAAGTTTCAGGTTAGTCACCCCCAAGTTGTAATGGGCCCGGAGCGAGAAGAGGGGGCAGAGGTGGGCGGGTTGCTGGTTTCTCGGAGGATGGTAGATGTGTTAGACCAAATGGGGACGGGGATAGACATATGGCAAAGCAGGGATATGACTAAAATGGTGTATGTAAGATAACGCAGATATGTGGAATTACATTAATATATAGTATAGATGAAAATACATGTTGTAGATAATTTATGTGGATTTTACATAAGATGTCTTATTACATTAATTAAGTATTACATGCTTATATGCTAGGGGAATATAATGTAATGCACGATATACATTAATGTATTATGGACTAGATAAATTTATGTACTAGAAGTTGATGTACAAGAAGTAGTTTAATAAGAATTTCAGCTTTGGGTGCTGACGGTGGGGGTTAAGCCTTCCTTCTTGACATTGTCCTAAGAAGATTTAATCTTCATTTTTGGTTTACAAGACCAATGTAATTTTTATACTATTAGGACATTAAGTGAATTTTAGTACACTATCTTCAATTATACTGGCGATTGGTATAAAAATAACGATAATAGAGAAGTATATAATAGAAGCAATTTGTCCAATAATAACGAATGGGTATTCTACTGGTTGGCCTCCGATTCATGTTAGGAGTAATAGGTCTGCTACTAATAGTCAGTATATAGTTTGTGTAATAGGTCGAAAAATTATGGTTCGAAGTTTAGATGTGTGTAGTAATGGTAGAGTTGCTAGGATTAGGATAGAGAGGATTAGGGCTAGGACTCCTCCTAGTTTATTAGGGATAGATCGTAGGATAGCGTAGGCGAATAGGAAGTATCATTCTGGTTTAATGTGTGCGGGAGTATTGAGTGGATTTGCAGGAGTATAATTATCAGGGTCTCCTAAAATATCTGGGAAAAACAATACTAAAGTTATGAGAGCAATTAATAGCATGAAGGCTCCTAGTAGGTCTTTAATAGTATAGTAGGGATGAAATGGAATTTTATCTGCGTCAGAATCTAGGCCTGTTGGGTTATTAGAGCCGGTTTCATGTAGGAATAGAAGATGGACCATTGCTAGGGCAGCGATAATGAATGGTAGGATGAAATGGAATGCGAAGAAGCGTGTTAGTGTGGCTTTGTCTACAGAGAATCCCCCTCAGATTCATTCTACTAGAGTGGTACCTATATAAGGGATAGCTGATAAAAGGTTAGTGATTACTGTAGCTCCTCAGAATGATATTTGACCTCATGGTAGTACATAGCCTATAAATGCTGTTGCTATTACTGCGAATAGTAGGACAATACCTACGTTTCAAGTTTCTACTATAGTGTATGAACCGTAATAAACTCCTCGTCCTACATGAAGGAATAGGCAGATAAAGAATATTGAAGCTCCGTTAGCGTGTAGGTAGCGGATTAGTCAGCCGTAATTAACATCTCGACAAATGTGGGTGACTGATGAGAATGCTGTAGTAGTATCTGATGTGTAATGTATAGCTAGGAATAATCCTGTCAAAATTTGTGTAATCAGACAAAGACCGATTAATGATCCGAAATTTCATCATGATGAAATATTTGATGGGGCTGGTAAATCAATGAATGCGTGATTAATAATTTTTATTAGCGGGTGTTTTTTTCGTATGATTGTCATTAGTGTTTCTATAGTTGAATTACAACGATGATTTTTCATGTCATTGGTCATAGGTAGAATCTATGTAGAAATTATGACAGAATACATTCTTATTTTAAGCTCATTTGTTGCTTTAGGTTGTATGGCTACATCTTTGAAGCCTTCACCTATTTATGGGGGTATGTGCCTAATTATTAGTGGGTGCGCTGGTTGTTTAGCGGTGTTAGGGTTTGGTGGATCATTTTTGGGATTAATGGTGTTTTTAATTTATTTGGGTGGTATGATAGTTGTATTTGGGTATACAACTGCTATGTCAGCTGAGGAGTATCCTGAGACTTGAGTGTCTAGTTGATTAGTGTTTGGTATCTTGGTGATAAGCATATTTATAGAGTTAGGTATGACGTTTGTTACTAAATATTATGAGGGTGTAGAGTTAATTTTGAATTTTAATGATATGGGAGGATGAGTGATTTATGATGGTGATGAACTGGGGTTGATAGGTGAGGGTGGAGCTGGTGTAGCAGCATTATATAGCTGCTCAGCTTGATTAATGGTTGTTTCTGGGTGAACTTTACTTATGGGTGTGTTTATTATTATTGAGATTACTCGTGGAAATTAAATAATAAAATTGGGATTGATACTAGGGAGATTAAGAAGGATATAAAGTATAGTTTAATGAGGCCTTTTGGTTTGTGATAGCTTGTGAATGCTTTGTAATTAGATAGTGAGATAGTTTTTGGGATTGCTTTTTCCAATCATGTCAGATCAAGTGTAGCTATGGCTGTATTAAAGCTTATTGTTAGATATTTTATTGGTAGTAAACGGTGTATGATAAGTGTAAAATATCCTAAAGAGGTTGAGAATAGGTTTTGTGGTGATTGAAGATTTAGTTTAAGGTTATAAGTTAGGTTGTTTAGTTCTAGTGCAATTGAAAGACCAATAATAGTAACTAGGATTGCGGTGGTTTTTATATATCATGGTATGGTTATTACTTGAATAGAGGAGATTGGAATGTTGTGTGAGATGATGAATCCTGCAAAAATGCTTCCTAAGGCTAAACGTTTAATTGGGTTCATGAGTATTTTGTTGTTCTCGTTTATAATAATTAGTGGTGGGAATCGTGGTTTTGATATAAGAGCGAAAAAGATAATTCGTAGGCTGTATACTGCTGTGAGGGAGGTAGCTACAAGTGTAATTAATAGGGCTCAGGCGTTTGTATAACAGGTGTTTGCGGCTTCGATGATTAAGTCCTTTGAATAAAAGCCTGTTAGGAATGGTATTCCTGTTAGGGCTAGGCTTCCAATTATCAAGCATGATGAGGTGAATGGTAGTGGTTTTAATAGTCCTCCTATTTTTCGAATGTCTTGTTCATCATTTAGGCTATGGATAATTGATCCGGAGCATATGAATAATATAGCTTTGAAGAATGCGTGTGTACAGATGTGTAGAAAGGCTAGGTGCGGTTGGTTAATTCCTAATGTTACTATTATTAGGCCTAATTGGCTTGATGTTGAGAAGGCTACGATTTTTTTAATATCATTTTGTGTGAGGGCACAGATTGCTGTGAATAGTGTTGTTATGGAACCTAAACATAATATGATAGTAAGAGCAGTGTTATTATTTGAGATTATTGGGTGGAAGCGGATTAGTAGAAAGATTCCTGCTACTACTATAGTGCTAGAGTGTAGTAGAGCTGAGACTGGTGTAGGGCCTTCTATAGCTGAGGGAAGTCATGGGTGTAGTCCAAATTGTGCAGATTTTCCTGTTGCTGCTACAAGTAAGCCTAGTAAAGGAATGAGGCTTTTGTTTTCTGATATAAAGATTTGTTGAAATTCTCAGGAATTATTATTTAAGCATAGTCAAGCTATTGTTATAACAAAGCCAATGTCCCCAATGCGATTATATAAAATTGCCTGTAGGGCTGCAGTATTTGCGTCTTGTCGTCCGTGTCATCAGCCAATAAGTAGGAATGATATAATTCCTACTCCTTCTCAGCCAATAAATAATTGGAACATATTGTTAGCAGAAGTCAAGATAATTATAGTAATGAGAAATATAAGTAGGTATTTAATAAATCGATTTAAATTTGGGTCTGAATGCATATATCATGAGGAAAATTCTATGATTGACCATGTAACAAAAAGTGCTACTGGCAGGAATATAATACAGAATAAATCAAATTTTAGATTAACGGATAGCTTGATTGTATTGATAGTTATCCAATGTCAATTAGTAATTAGAAATTCAGTGTTAGAATAAAATAAAGTGCATAGTGGAACAAGGCTTAATATGAAAGTGAGCTTAATTGTTGAAGTAACGTGTGCTGGAAAGTTGATTGTCTTATAGAAGTTAAATATAGTTATTATTACAGGTAAGGTCAATAGAATAAAAATAAGGAAAATAATAGATGTAGTAGTGTTAATTACTTTTATTTGGAGTTGCACCAATTTTTTGGCTCCTAAGACCAATGGATTACTACTATCCTATAAAAGTAAGAAAGCCGTGGTGTTAAACACGGTTACATGAGTTAGCAGCTCTTGAATTCTTTCTTGGTAAATAAGAGGATTTTATCCTCTATCTTCAGGTTCACAGTCTGATGTTTTAATAAACTTTATTTACATAATGTATTGCCTATGATAAATTTTGGGTTAATCATTAAAAGTGAAAGTGGTGTAATGTGGAGTATTATTAAGGTAAGTTCTCGTGTGTGTGATGGTTGTAGATTAATTATATGTGGTGTTAACGTACCTCGTTGAGTAGTAATTAGTATATATAGTGAATATAGGGCTGTAATTAGGATGTTAGTTCCTACTAATAAGATGGTAAAATTTGATCATGAGAATAGTGAAATTGAGATTAGTAATTCTCCAATTAAATTGATTGATGGTGGAAGGGCTAGGTTAGTTAGGCTTCCTAAGAATCAAAATAGGGCTATGAGGGGGAAAGCTGTTTGTAGACCTCGTGCTATAATTATAGTTCGGCTGTGGATACGTTCATAGTTAGTATTAGCAAGACAAAATAGTAGAGAAGATGTAAGACCATGAGCGATTATTAGTGCTGAGGCTCCTATAAAACTTCATGGTGTTTGAATTATAATAGCTGCAATAACTAGTGCCATGTGACTGACTGATGAGTAGGCAATAAGTGATTTTAGGTCTGTTTGTCGTAGGCAGATTGAGCTAGTTATGATTATTCCTCATAGTGATAGTATAATAAATGGATAAGCCATAGATTTTGTTAGTGGATCTAGAATTACCGATAGCCGTATTATTCCGTAACCTCCTAATTTTAGTAGAATAGCCGCTAGAATTATAGACCCGGCAATAGGGGCTTCTACATGAGCTTTAGGAAGTCATAGATGTACTCCGTATAAAGGTATTTTGATTATAAAGGCTATCATGCATGCTAGTCATAAAATATGGTTAGACCATGATTGGTTTAATATATAATTAGATAAAGTTAGAAGTAATGTATTTAATGATCCTAGTGAAGAGTTGATGGAAATTAAAGCAATTAGTAATGGGATTGATCCTACTAGTGTGTAAAAGAGAAAGTAAAGGCCTGCACTTAATCGCTCTGTTTGGTTTCCTCATCGTGTAATGATTACAAGAGTTGGAATAAGTGTGGCTTCAAATAAAATATAAAATAGTATAAGCTCGTTTGCTGAAAATGTTGGGATTAGAAGAGTTTGTAGAATAATTAGTATAGAAATATAAAGTTTTTTGTTGTAGTCGGTTTCTTTTTTAATATGATTTTGACTAGCTAGTAGTATAAGTGGTAGAAGTCAGATAACTAATATAATTAATGATGAAGATAGTGGATCAATATAAAATGTCTGGGAGAGTCCTATACCTGTTTCGTTTATTTGTCATAAAGTTGCTATAGCTAAAGTATTGATTAAGAAACTGTGTGCTGTGACATTAATTCATACATTTTTGTTAGATGATAATCAGGTTAGAGGTAGGAGTATGAGAGATGGGATAATAATTTTTAACATTGTAGGAGGTTGAGGTTTTTTACATAGTCTGTTCCGTAAGTGTTTGACACTACTACAAGTAGGGCCAAGCCTACTGCGGCTTCGCATGCTGCAAACACCAGAATTACGATAGGATTTGAATACATACCTATCGAATGTGTGTTAAGTGAGGTTATTGCTGTTATGATAAATAGAGAGAGTATTATACCTTCTAAACATAGAAGCGTAGACATTAGGTGAGATCGAAATAGCACAGTCCCGAGAAGTGAAAAAATGTAAGCTAATACAATATTAAGGACTGTGGTTGTCATATTGGTAATTATGATTTATATCATAATCTAATGAGTCGAAATCACTAATTTTTATTAAACTAATTACCAGTTATTCTGTTCATTCTAATCCTTTTTGCTTTCATTCATAGGCTAAACCTAGTCCTAGAATAGATAGAAATAGGAATGAGATGGTTAGTATTATATTGATGGTTATGGATTGTATAGCTCATGGAAGTGGAAGGAGAAGAGCAATTTCTAGATCGAATAATAGGAAAGTAATGGCTACTAGGAAAAATTTTATAGAGAAGGGTAAGCGAGCGGAGCTTATAGGATCAAATCCGCATTCGTAAGGTCCTGCTTTTTCTGTATAGGTGTTCAATTGTGGTAGTCAGAATGCAACTGAAATGAGTACTAAAGATAGAATAATATTGGTGGAGATAGCTATAATTAAGTTTATTACTTTCTTCCAGATGTAATTGGATCTAACTGATTGGAAGTCAGTGGTACTTAATATACTAAGAAAGTATGAGCCTCATCAATAGATTGATACGTAAAGGAAAAGTCATACAACATCTACAAAGTGTCAGTATCATGCTGCGGCTTCAAATCCGAAATGGTGTTTTGATGTAAAGTGAAATTTAAATTGTCGTAATAAGCATACTGTAAGGAATGATGTTCCAATGATTACATGGAGACCGTGAAAACCTGTTGCTATAAAGAATGTAGATCCATAGATTCCGTCTGAGATGGAAAAAGAAGTTTCTAAGTACTCTGATGTTTGTAGTGCAGTAAAATACACCCCTAAGATGATTGTAATGAGTAATGCTTGATTTATACTATTTCGCTTACCTTCTATTAGACTGTGGTGGGCTCATGTAATTGATACTCCTGATGCTAAGAGGACTGATGTGTTTAATAATGGTACTTCAAGGGGGTTAAGTGGGGTAATACCTGTTGGTGGTCAGCATCCCCCTAGGTCATGTGTGGGTACTAGGCTGGAGTGGTAGAAGGCTCAGAAAAATCCAGCAAAGAAGAAAATTTCTGATACAATAAATAAAATTATCCCGTATCGGAGCCCTTTTTGTACAATGGGGGTATGATGTCCTTGGTATGTACCCTCTCGTACAATGTCTCGTCATCATTGATATATAGTTAGTATGTTGGTTAGTAAGCCAATATAAAGGATAGTAAATGAGTTATAGTGAAATCATATTACTAATCCTGAGGTAAGTAAGAGGGCTGAGAAAGCTCCAGTGAGGGGTCATGGGCTTGGGTTTACTATATGATATGCATGTGTTTGGTGGGTCATTACGTATTATCATGTAGATATAGGCTTACTAGTAGTGTAAATACATAGGCTTGAATTAAGGCTACAGCGAACTCTAGGATAGTTAATATAATTAAGATAATAAATGTGATTATAGCAGTTGGTAGGCTGATTGAGGTTAGGACTAGTGTAGCTCCTCCAATTAAGTGCATTAGCAGATGTCCTGCGGTGATATTAGCTGTTAAACGTACAGCTAAGGCTATAGGTTGAATAAATAAGCTAATTGTTTCAATAATTACTAGTATTGGGATAAGTGGAATAGGGGTTCCTTGTGGGAGAAAGTGAGCAAGTGAGTCTTTTATTTTATGTCGAAACCCTAAGATTACAGCTCCAGCTCATAGTGGGATAGCTATTCCTAGGTTTATAGATAATTGAGTTGTAGGAGTGAATGTGTGTGGTAGTAGACCTAGCAGATTTGTTGAGCCAATAAAGATAATTAATGATGCCAGTATAAGTGATCAGGTTCGTCCTTTAGGTGAGTGAATTGCTATTATTTGCTTAGTAATTAGTTTAATTAATCACTGTTGGAAGGTGTGAAATCGATTGTTTACTAAGCGTTTTGATGATGTCATAATGACAAGTGGAAATATAATAATAAGAATAATAATAGGTAATCCTATTAGGGTTGGGGTAATGAAAGAGGAGAATAAATTTTCGTTCATTTTTGTTCTCAGGGGTTTGTTGGTTTGAAAAGTTTTAGGTATTTATTAGAGGGTTTTTTGTGTAAGTCGTGAAATGAGATTTTTAGTTGTATTAAGATAAATAATGTAATAGAGGAAGCTAAGACAGTTGTAAATCATGTAGAAGTGTCTAGTTGTGGCATGTCATTGTGGAGATATAAGGTCTCTAACTTTAACTTAAAAGGTTAACGCTCTAAGCTTCACAATGATATTAGATTATTGATACAGATCAAGTCTCGAAGCATTTTATAGGCACTATTTCTAATACGATTGGCATAAAACTGTGATTTGAACCACAGATTTCTGAGCATTGGCCATAAAACAACCCTGGCCGATTAGATGAAATAGTAGCTTGGTTTAGACGTCCTGGGATTGCGTCTGTTTTAAGTCCCAGAGAGGGTACAGCTCATGAGTGAAGTACATCTTCAGATGAGATTAATATACGAATTGGTAGTTCTATAGGAAGAACTATTCGATTATCAACTTCGAGTAATCGTAGATCCCCTGGTTTAAGGTCATTTGTTGGAATCATATATGAGTCAAAGCATAGGTCTTCGTAGTCTGTGTACTCATAACTTCAGTATCATTGATGGCCCATAGTTTTAACTGTAATAATTGGGTTATTGATTTCATCTATTATATATAGAATTCGTAGAGATGGAAGAGCAATTAGAATAAGAATTACTGCTGGCAAGATAGTTCAAATGGTTTCTACTTCTTGAGCATCTATTGTACTTGTATGAGTAAGTTTAGTAGTGAGTATAAGTGTAATAATATATAGAACTAATGAGCTAATAAGAAATACGATTATTAGAGTATGATCGTGGAAATTTATCAATTCTTCTATAATAGGTGACGTAGCATCTTGTAAGCCTAATTGAGATGGGTAAGCCATCTAAGATATATAGAGATTAGTCTATAATTTAACTTTGACAAAGTTATGTAATGAATTTTACTAATATCTCATGGAGAAAGACATAGAGGTTATGGAGTTGGCTTGAAACCAATTTTAGGGGGTTCGAATCCTTCCTTTCTTATTTTACTTTTACGAATGTTGGTTCTTCAAATGTATGGTATGGAGGAGGGCAGCCGTGTAGTCACTCTAGATTTGTTGATGTGTGATCTACTGTCATCACTTCACGTTTTGAAGCGAAAGCTTCTCAGATTATGAAGATTATGATAAGAACTGCGATTAGTGAAATAAATGATCCTATTGAGGATACCGTATTTCATGTAGTATACGCATCAGGGTAATCGGAATAACGTCGTGGTATACCTGATAAACCTAGGAAATGTTGTGGAAAGAATGTCAAGTTTACTCCTACAAATATAATAGCGAAGTGAGCTTTTGCTCATGTATCATCTAGGGTATATCCAGAAAATAATGGGAATCAGTGAACAAACCCTGCTATAATGGCAAAAACAGCTCCTATAGATAATACATAGTGGAAGTGAGCTACAACGTAGTAGGTGTCGTGTAGAACAATATCTAGTGAAGAGTTGGATAGGACAATTCCAGTTAGTCCTCCTACTGTAAAAAGGAAGATAAAGCCTAGAGCCCATAGTATGGCTGGTGATCATTTAATATTTCCTCCATGGAGTGTTGCAAGTCAGCTGAACACTTTTACCCCTGTAGGAATAGCAATAATTATTGTAGCTGATGTAAAATAGGCGCGAGTATCAACATCAAGTCCTACTGTAAATATATGGTGGGCTCATACAATAAACCCTAGAAATCCGATTGACATTATTGCTCACACTATACCTATATAGCCAAATGGTTCTTTTTTTCCTGAGTAGTATGTAACAATATGGGAAATAATTCCAAATCCTGGAAGAATCAGAATATAAACTTCTGGGTGTCCAAAAAATCAGAATAGGTGTTGATATAAGATAGGATCTCCACCACCTGCAGGGTCAAAGAATGTTGTATTTAGATTACGATCTGTAAGTAGCATAGTAATACCTGCGGCTAGAACTGGTAGGGATAAGAGTAATAGCACAGCTGTAATTAGAACAGATCAGACGAAAAGTGGTGTTTGGTATTGTGTAACAGCTGGGGGTTTTATATTGATGATTGTAGTAATAAAATTAATAGCTCCAAGGATTGAGGAAACACCAGCTAAGTGTAGTGAGAAGATGGTTAGGTCTACCGAAGCTCCTGCATGGGCTAGATTTCCTGCTAATGGAGGGTAAACTGTTCATCCAGTTCCTGCACCTGCTTCTACTATAGATGAAGCTAGTAGTAATAGGAATGAAGGTGGTAGTAATCAAAAGCTTATGTTGTTTATACGTGGGAATGCTATATCAGGAGCTCCAATTATTAAAGGCACTAATCAATTCCCAAATCCGCCAATTATTATAGGTATTACTATGAAGAAAATTATAACGAATGCATGAGCTGTAACAATTACGTTATAGATTTGATCATCTCCAAGTAAAGCCCCTGGTTGGCCAAGTTCTGCCCGAATTAAAATGCTAAGGGCAGTTCCTACTATTCCTGCTCAAGCACCAAATATTAGATACAAAGTCCCGATGTCTTTATGATTAGTAGAGAAAAGTCAACGGTTAATGAACATAGGTAAAATGGCTGAGTAAAGCATTAGACTGTAAATCTAAAGACAGAGGTTATAGTCCTCTTTTTATCAGTCTTAAGGTGATATTCACATCGAATTGCAAATTCGAAGGTGTAGAAAACAAATTCTACTAAGGCTTCTCCCGCCCCCTTTCTGATAGGCGGGAGAGCTAGATTGAAGCCAGTTGTTGGGTGTTTAGCTGTTAACTAAAGTTTCGTAGGTTTGAATCCTATCAGTCTAGAGGAGGATTTAGCTTAAATTAAAGTAATTGATTTGCACTCATTAGATGTAAGATTTAGACTTGCAATCCTTAATCAGAAGTTAAACTTGTAGGTTTACTAAGGGCTTTGAAGGCTCTTGGACTGAATTATCCTAAACTTCTATAATGCTAGGGAAGAAAGGGGAAGTGTAAGGGTGCTTAGGATAATTATTGAGGGTAGGGTGAGGTATATTTTATTGGATGTTTGTTGAATATACATTTTTGAGTTATTATTTGTAGGGAAGGTTGTTAATGAGGTAGAATAGATTAGTCGAGTGTAGAAGAATAAATTAATTAGTGCTGCGATGGCTATAATGGAGGCTATAATGGGGTTATTATTTTTAAGAAGCTCAGTGATGATAAGTCATTTAGGTATAAATCCTGTTAGTGGTGGGAGTCCTCCTGTTGATAATAAAATTATGGCTATGATTGGTAATAATACTGGTGCTTTATTTCATAGTAGTGATATAGTTTTGATAGACGAGAAAGAGTGGGTATGTAGAATTAAGAATACAGCTAGTGTTAATATGATGTAGATAATTAGATTGATAATTGTAAGTGATGGGTTGTATGGGAGAATAGAGATTATTCAGCCTATATGGGAGATGGATGAATAAGCTATAATTTTCCGTGTTTGTGTTTGGTTTAGGCCTCCTCATGCTCCAACTAGTACTGAGATAAGGGCAGAGGGGATTAGGATATTAATATCAATAGATTGATAAATTTGAAGTAAAATAGTCATTGGGGCTACTTTTTGTCAGGTGAGTAAAAGTAATCCCATTTTGAGTGGAATTCCTTGGGTAACTTCAGGAAGTCAGGCGTGAAATGGAGAAAGGCCTAATTTGATTGACAGTGAAATAAAAATTAGTGTTGTAGTTAGATTATTAGTTTGTGGTTGAAATGTTCATAGACCTATTTGTTTATAGTTGAGGATAACTGATATAAGAAAGATTATTGATGCTGTAGCTTGAGTAATAAAGTATTTTGTTGATGCTTCTATGGATCGTGGGTTTGATTTATTAATTATAAGGGGAATTATGGCTAGTAGGTTTATTTCTAAACCAATTCATATAAGAAAGAAACTGGAGCTGAGCATAGTGACTATTGGGCCTGAAAAAATTGTGAAGTAAATGATGAGGAGAGTGAAAGGGTTAATTAGTACGGGAAGGATTTAAACCAACGTTTTCGGGGTATGGGCCCGATAGCTTAATTAGCTGACCTTACTATAATAGGGTGTAGTACATAGGTAGTACGTAGAATTTTGAATTCTGAAATGTAGGTTCAATTCCTATCGCTCTAGAAATAAGAGGATTTAAACCTCTATAATTTACTCTATCAAAGTAACTCTTTTGTCAGACATATTTCTAGGTATATGGTGGAATGCTTGCTATGAATACAGGTATAGAAATATATCATGTACATAGGGCTAAAGTTAATGGGAGGAAGTTTTTTCATAGTAAGTGTATGAGTTGATCATATCGGAATCGTGGGTAGGATGCTCGAATTCATAGGAATAGGGAGGTTAATATTAGTGTCTTAAGTATAAAATTAGTAGTAAATATTTCTGGATGTGTTGGATTATTGTATGGGCCTAAGAATACAATAGTTGATAGGGCATTTATTAGAATAATGTTAGTATATTCAGCTATGAAGAATAGTGCGAATGGGCCTGCAGCATACTCTACGTTAAATCCAGATACTAGTTCAGATTCTCCTTCAGTGAGGTCGAAAGGAGCTCGATTTGTTTCTGCTAAGGTAGAGATAAATCATATTATGGCTAGTGGTCAGGAGGCAAGTAGTAATCATATGTGTTCTTGTGTGGTAATAAGGGTCTGTAGTGAGAAAGAGCCACTTATAAGTAGGACTGATAGTAAAATAATTGCTATAGTTACTTCATATGAAATAGTTTGTGCTACAGCTCGTAGGGCTCCAAATATTGAGTATTTTGAATTTGAGGCTCATCCTGATCATAAGATTGAATATACAGAAAGGCTTGATGTAGCTAAAATGAATAATACTCCTATATTTATATTAATTAATGGGTGTGGTATTGGAATAGGAACTCATAGGCTGAACGCTAGAGTGAGTGATAAGGTTGGTGCTAAAATAAATAGAGTTGTGGATGTAGCTAGGGGGCGTAAAGGTTCTTTAATAAATAGTTTTATTGCATCAGCGAATGGTTGTAAGATGCCATATGGTCCGACGATGTTTGGGCCTTTTCGTAGTTGTATGTAGCCTAGGATTTTTCGTTCTACTAATGTAAGGAAAGCTATTGCAATTAGGATTGGAACTAGAAGTATTAGGATATTGATTATATGCACTATTAGGGAGAGGATTTGAACCTCTGATTACAAGGGTTTAAGTCTTACGCAATTTCCGGGCTCTGCCACCCTAATAAACCCTTATCTTGGGGTTAATAGTACGGATATATTACATTGAGATGTATTCATTAATTATTTTTGAAGCGCTTGTGTAAAGGAGGCTCCATTTCTCTTATCCTTTCGTACTGGGAGAAATCGTAAATAGATAGAAACCGACCTGGATTACTCCGGTCTGAACTCAGATCACGTAGGACTTTAATCGTTGAACAAACGAACCTTTAATAGCTTCTGCACCATTGGGATGTCCTGATCCAACATCGAGGTCGTAAACCCTAATTGTCGATATGGACTCTCTAATAGGATTGCGCTGTTATCCCTAGGGTAACTTGGTCCGTTGATCAAATATGTTTGGGTCAATAAGATTATAGGTGCTTTGGCTTGTGTGCCTTAGCTATAATCATTCGGAGGATTTTTTATGCTCCGAGGTCACCCCAACCGAAATCTTCTTATTATGCTTTTATGTTTTTAAACCAGTAGGTTAGTTGTGATATAAGCTAATAAGTTAGATTAAAGCTCCATAGGGTCTTCTCGTCTTATTAGGTTATTCCAGCCTCTTCACTGGAAGGTCAATTTCACTGATTGGGAATAAGAGACAGTTGAATCCTCGTTTAGCCATTCATTCTAGTCCCTAATTAAGGAACAAGTGATTATGCTACCTTTGCACGGTCAGGATACCGCGGCCGTTGAACTTAGTCACTGGGCAGGCATTGCCTCTAATACTTGTGATGCTAGAGGTTATGTTTTTGGTAAACAGGCGGGATTCGTGTTTGCCGAGTTCCTTTTATTCCTTTTAATCTTTCCTTAAAGCACACCTGTGTTGGATTAACATTATTTTAAAAGTTTATTTATAGGTAGTTTAACATGCTTTATTTGTGTTAACTAACAATGGTTATCCGGGTTGTTATAGGCTTGTGCATGGAGAATATTATTCTTGTTACTCATACTAACAGTATCTCTTCTATTTGTTAATAGATTAACCCAATTATGAATGTAGGAGATTGATAAAATTTTAGGTATTATAGTTTTTAAGTGTTGAGCTTGAACGCTTTCTTTATTGGTGGCTGCTTTTAAGCCAACTATGGTTAGTATGTTTTTATCTTACTCTCTACTAAAGGTTGTTTCCTTTCCTAAAGAGCTGTCCCTCTTTAGGCTATATTTTAAATTTACATTTAGGTTGTTATTCCTTTAGGTAAATTTAAAGTTGAACTGAAATTCTTTATTGGGTAACCAGCTATCACCAAGCTCGTTAGGCTTTTCACCTCTACCTAGAAGTCTTCCCACTATTTTGCTACATAGACGGGTGCATCCATAAAATTGCTCTTAGGTAGCTCGTTTGGTTTCGGGGTTTCTAGCTTCAGTTCTCTTAGCTAGAATTGTTCTAGTTAGTTCATTATGCAAAAGGTAAAAGGTTTAATCTTTGCTTTTTTTTACTTTAGCTTATCTTTCATCTTTCCCTTACGGTACTGTCTCTATAGCTCCTTTAGGTAAAGTTTCTCTCTCCGATACTTTAATAGTTAAATGGTTTGATTTATTAATAAAAATAGTTTAATTATTTAGTTCATAGGGCTAGAGCTAGTTCATAATGTCCGGTGAGTTAGGAATCTTCTGGGTGTAGACCAGATGCTTTATTGTATTTAAGCTACGTTATGGTAATCCAAGCACACTTTCCAGTATGCTTACCTTGTTACGACTTGTCTCCTCTCATAGGCTTATTAATAAGTATTAGGTATAATATCGGCAGTCTAATTTGAGGAGGGTGACGGGCGGTGTGTACGTACTTCATTGCTCTATTCAATTAAGCTCTCTATTCTTAATTTACTACTAAATCCTCCTTTGTCCTTTAATTTCATAAAGGGTATCGTGAATGTTCTTGTCAAGAAAATGTAGCCCATTACTTCCCATCCCATAGGCTACACCTTGACCTAACGTTTTTACGGGTATGCTCTTGCTTACTTTTATTCTTTTTAAAGGTTTGCTGAAGATGGCGGTATATAGGCTGAATTAGCAAGGGATGGTGAGGTATAGCGGGGTTTATCGATTATAGAACAGGCTCCTCTAGATGGATATAAAGTACCGCCAAGTCCTTTGAGTTTTAAGCGGTGGCTAGTAGTTCTCAGGCAAAGGGTTTTGTTATAGTTTAACCCTTAAGGTTTAAGGCTAAGCATAGTGGGGTATCTAATCCCAGTTTGGATCTTAGCTATCGTGTATATTAAAATATTAGAATTACTTTCGTCATTGAGTTTAATACCAACTATGAATTTTCACATATTAGTTGGGTTTTAATTCTATTATGTTAAGTCTATAACACGTTTTACGCCGGAAATAATTAGTTTGGGTTAATCGTATGACCGCGGTGGCTGGCACGAAATTTACCAACCCTGTATAAGGTATTACTAAGTCAAACTTTCGTTCATTGCTTAATTTTTATCACTGCTGAGTCCCGTGGGGGCGTGGCTAGGCAAGGTGTCTTTAGCTATTATAATGTGCTTGATACCCTCTCCTTAGAGTTTAATACAAAACCCTAGGGATTTTACACTGGCTCATGGAGTTTTGCATGTGTAACCATACCTTCAATTAATTATAAGGCCAGGACCAAACCTTTATGTTTATGGGATTAGTAATCCATCTAAGCATTTTCAGTGCTTTGCTTTAGTGTGTTAAGCTACATGAAC